CGATCGGGAATCCAGGCAACCGGTGGGGAGGCGGTCGCTCGCCAGAGCTTGCGATAAATCTGCAGCTCATGCTGCACGACACTGTGGGGATCAGCACTGGGGCCTTTAGGGTCGTGCACAACCGTAGGCAAAACAACACTCCGAACCTTCGTGACCCTATGAAGGCCCCGCGCTCCCCCCATGCTGGCAGTCTTGCACCAATCACTCCAGCTGGTCTGGATCTCTTTTGATGCACCTTTGACGGCCACAGAGACGCCCTCAGCAATGTCTTCGAGAAATTCTTCCACATTCTCACGAAAGAACTCAGAACACAGCATCTTGCGGGCCTGCTGAACCGAATTATCTAACCGAGCGCTCAAACCGAGCCCTGGATAGTCATTATCACGAAAAACCGCCAGCTCGGCAAGCATCATTTGCTGTGTATGCTCATTCATGTCATCTAAATCAGCTAACTGGCCTAGGTGTTGGACTGCGTTGCGAAGCCACTGCCACCCATCAGCTATTAAACATTTTCCAGTGTCGTCTGGCACGGGATATTCCACATTGACCCAGCGCGGTGCAACTTGGCGCCCGAAACTGCCGAAGGTATCTTTCGCGCCCCCAGTGCAAGTACTGATATGCCGCGCAGCGATCTGGGCAAACTTGCCCCAACTGGTGCTAAGCAAGTGATGCACTACCCCTGGATCGGTCTTCTCATCCCCCGCCATCTCGACACAGCGCTCCACCAAACCCCTCGCAGGACCCCAATCTGGCGGCGAGGGTTGAGGACCGAAAGGGGGGGAAATAGGAAGAGCAGGGGCAACAGTATACACTAGATGCTGCACTCGATATCCCTGACTGGCTATAGCGAGCTGCACGGGTCTATGGGGCCTGATCGCCCATCGCGTGTCTAGCTTAACATGTTTATACGCACGCATGCACGGATCATTCAACCCGAAAAAATCAATTATCGAGCTACCCGTACCACCTCGACAAGTGTATAGCTTAGTAGAGACGAGGGTGAGACGAGCAAACCTACAGAAACCTGAAGCCTCGACCTCGTCAGGAGACATGTTCCAATCACCCCCAACTATACAGGGACCGTCAATACTCTCAACTACTGCACCTGCTGCTGCCATCAACTTGGCGTTCTTGCCCTGAGGGCCTAAGCTGGGATACAGGTACATATTTATAAGATGTAGGGTAGGCCACCCTGGAAGATCAAGTTGTACGTGCTGCACGCGATGCTCACACACCTGATGCACACCGAGCTGTGGCGCGCGCACACCGCACTCACTGCGCACGAAAACAGCCACACCTGCACTGGGCACGTTGCCTGCTGAGGGACATGAAGGCAACGCCATAAGACTCCATCCTCGCACTTGCGCCCAACTCTGAATGGCTTCAACCTGATCGGCCACGTGACCAAACTCTTGCACAATCACGACTAACGCTCGAGTGACTTTGAGCCGCTTCTTGAGCGTACTCTTGCCTCCACTGCAATTGAACGTTTCAATGACATGCTCACCAGCGATCTGCCCTACTTCAGGTTGCGAGGGAGGAAACGCAGCTGGTCTGAAACCTGTCACTAGAGGCAAGAGGGAACCGTTCGCATCATATCTGTCCTGTGGAGCACAAGCTCCCTGGGCTGGGCGCGCAGACATCGGCGCAGCGCCCTCAGAAGTCGGTCTGACAGGGGAGGCGCGGCTGGCGCACTCGCTCCCCTCGCCGCCAGGAGGACGCTCAGCATCTGCAGCGCCAACAACATTGGTCCTCGATGATCGAAGGGAGTGTTGGCTGACCACTACCCCCTCCGACGTAGTACAACCATCATGCGCAAGGAGGTCACCATCACCCCGAACGCGCACGCTTAGCCGAGTAGAGCTCCTCCAACTTGGCAGTGAAATCCTCGAAGCTGTTGGGGTGGGCCCACAGGTTCTTCCGCTCTTCCTCCGAGAGTTCACTGAGCTCATTGTTACGCTTTTGACTGGCTGCATCATTGCCTCGCGCGGCGCTAGCTGCGCCGTCACCTGCACCAGGTTGGGCTGCTCCACCGCCGCCACCATCACGTTGACCATCACCAGGAGGCGCAACACCCATGCCAGCATCAGGTTCGGCCTCCTTGGGCAGGACGCGGATGTGCTCCTGCAGCTTCTTCCAGAGATCGCTGTTGAGGAACGCCTCAGCCTCTGGATTCTCAGCCTTGAAGGTGTCGACGTCATGGAGCAACACTGAGCCTGGTTCTGCTTTTCCTTGCTCGCCTCCTTCTCCACGTTCACCCTTCTGTGAGACCAGCTGGGCAGTCCTGTCGAACTCCGTCTGCAAGACCACCAGCTGCTCCTTCTTTGCCACCAACGACTGCTCGCGCTCCTCGATGGATACACGCAACTTCTCGTACTGCTCACGCTTGTCGACCAGATCCTTCGACATCTGCTCGATCGCCGCCTTCGCCTTGCTGAGCTCCTGGGCTGCACGCCTATGAGCTGTCTGAGGCGGCCGCATCTGCTTCTGCTGGTCGCGCAAGCTGGACAACTTCTTCTCCATGCTCTCCCGTATGTCTTTGAACTCATCATCCTTGGCCATAGACTTGATGGAGGCCTCCAGCTCTTGGACCTGAACCGCAACTTTAGCTCGTCGCCCTTCGTCAGTGTCTGGAACTGCCTCCGCCGTCTCAGCCGCCTTATGCTGTGCCTCACGTTGCCACGGTGGAACTTGAGGTACGGTACTCGTGGTACTCGTACTGGTACTCTTTGCCAGCGATGCCACGAGGGAGTCAAGCTTCTTTTCCAGCGCACCGAGCTTGTCTCCTTTGCCACCGCCTTTCTGTGGCTTGTCGCCACCTTTCCCTTTGCCACGGGCTTTGCCACCACCACTCTCGAGCTGCTGCAACGCAACTTTGTGGGCAGTGACTGCACGTGCACGAATGTGGGCTGGTGCCGAGCGCCCGCACTCGCACTTGATCCTCGACGCCCAGTTGTGCAGGCGCGTGCACGAGCCACACGCCCACTCTGGCTTGCGTGGGCCGAGCAGAACATCCCACTCCTTGTCATCAAGAGCGGGGGCCATCCGCTGACCACACTCACACGAAAGAAATAGCTCCTGCAGGAGCTCACTGCTGAAAGCTTGGCCGAGGCAGCCAGGCCTTGGGAAGGGGCTGCCCTTCCACCTCGGCCTCGAGCCTCTGGAGTCGGGACGGGAGGTAAGCTCCGTCTTGAGCCAAAATGGCTACGGGGAGGAGGAGGAGGAGGAGGAGGAGGAGGAGGAGGAGGAGGAGGAGGAGGAGGGGAGGCACGGGCGGGCGGGCGCCCCGGCGCGCTTCCCAAGGGGGGGGGGGGGGGCTTCCGGGGACGAGGCGGCAGATGCCAGCGAGGCGCTGACCGCACCCCAAGGGGGGGGCGAGAGGAGGGGAGGGGAGGGGCAGGCCTGCCCCCCCTCCTCTCGCCCCCCCAAGGGGGGGCGAGAGGAGGGGGGGCGAGAGAAGGGGGGGAGAGGGGCAGGCCAGGTGCGCTCGTGCCACATCTGCCAGCCTGCCCCTCCCACCCGTCCCTTCCCATGGCGCTGTGCTTCCCCTCTCCGCCGACGCGTGGCACCAGCAGACCTGGAGCTCCAAAGAGGAGTTCCCTTGTCGTGTCGTGCGCGATCGGAAGAGAAGGGAGCTGCGTACATTGGAGGAGAAGGTAGCGGATGAGCAGGAGAACGAGCAGGCGGAAAAGGAGGATGAGAAAGGAGGAGGATGACGAGTACAAAAAGCAGCAGGAGCTGGAGTGGAAGGAGCGGGAGTAGCAAGAGGACCAGGCGAAGGCGGAGGGGAAATGAGAGGGGCGTCAACGATGAAAAAGGACTCGGATCCAACGAAAAATACACGAACTGGGGCGAGAGCGTCATTTCTGAACGACGGGAGCAAGGCGCCGATCCGAAAATGAGACCCACGCTGCAGTGGGAGCACCATTTTGAAACGCCGAAAACATTCGGATGGTAAAAACACGTGAGAAAATCAACGTTTGAAATCCTGCGTGTGCAGAAACAATCCGAGGAGAGGAGTCAGCGGAGAGAGGAGTATAGTATCCATAAGGTGCAATTGTAGAGGACACGGGAAGAACGGAGAGGAGAAGGAAGGATTAGGTGGCGACATCCGGACCCTACCCCCACCATCCATCGACTCCCCAGAATCGATGGGAGGCGGGGGTGGGGTTCGGGTTTCGCCACGTGTCCGACGAATTCCGAACCCTACCCCCAAGAACCATGAGTTGCCCGAATCGTTGATCTGCGAGGGTAGGGTTCGAAGTTCACCGCCGAAAGGAAAGGAGGGGGACAGGAGAGGCACCAGCGACGGAGGAAGGACTGCGGCAGGAAAGTGGGGCAGGAGAGGAAAGGGGACACGAGAGGGAGGAGGAAGGATCAGCCACTGTGCCCCCTGGCAGGTTGAGAGGCACGGTGGATATGTAGAGCGCTGTCTGGTAGGGTTTATGGAAGCCCACTTTAAGGGCCCCTCCCCCCCGCCCCAAGAGAGCCCCAAGACGGCCCAAGAGGGCCCCCAGCGGCCACCAGGACAGCCCCAAGAGACCCCCCAGAAGCTCGACAGGGGCCCGAGTCGGCCCAAGACGGCAGATGGCCCAAGAGGGCCCCCAAGACGGCTCCAAGACGGCCCCACAGGAGCCCAAGACAGCCCCAAGACGGCCCAGGAAGGCCTCAAGGGAACTCTAGCAAGGAATCGAGACGAGAGGTGACATGTTACGGCCTCCTGGGCGTCTCCGTGCAGAGTGCTGTGATGGCACGGTGGCGAAGCTTGCCGCAGGCAGCAGGATAACTGTCCTACTCATAACGAGGACCCGGACAAAGGAGGGACAAAACATCTGGGTGCTCGACTGCTGCGACACTGGGTGGATTGGCCAAGATTCTGTCCACTTTCCCTGGCTCTCAACGTAAAGAGAAGGGGCCCCCCAGGCAAGCCCAAGTCACCAAACAGCCAATCGTCTGCATGTATGCCTTGGTCTTGCCCCGCCTTCCCCCAGCCCTGGGTCCTCGTTCGCCATGTGGCGCACGACCTATCCGACGGCCGCCCCGCGGCACAGAGGGCGTGGTATCACGAGCGGCGAACATATCCACATCCACGCCTTCGCGGTCTGGACCCCCGGGCACGATCCCGTGGAGGTGCCGCCGCAGGGCTCCGCTCCGCGCGGGGCGCCCCGCGAAAAACGCCCCGTACCCCTGGGGTCGCGGCCCGGGGGCCCGGCCCGCGAGGCCGTGGACGTGGAAGTGCACCCCGCCCACGATGGTATAGACCAGAGGCCAGGGCAGGACAGGCCTCCGGTGCCGGTCTCGAGGGCTTTGCCCACCGGGCAAAACCCTCGGCGCCGTGCTGCCACAGCGGCTTCGTGCGCCGCCGGGGGAGCAGGATAGGGGCGCCTGCCAGGCGAGGGCGGCCCGCCCTCGCGCTTCCGCAGGCACCGGCGCTGCCGCTCCCGCGGGACCTCATCCTTGATGCGGCCGAAATTGCCAGGCACCTTGTTCTCCACCGCGGCCAGCACCTCGCAGGCGCTCGCACGGCACGAGGGTTCTCAGAGCATCAGAAGTAGCGGTGGTGGTGGTGGTGGTGGTGGTGGTGGTGGTGGTGGTGGTGGTGGTGGTGGTGGTGGTGGTGGTGGTGGTGGTGGTG